AAGCTGCTTCAGATCTGAAAACATCCACAGGTGTTTCTGTCCATCCTTCCACTGTGAGAAGACGACTCAGCGCTGTGGGTCTGAAAGGATGTGTAGCTGTCAAGAAGAACCTCACTGACAAAAGGAGACGGACACATCAAACAAAGAAGCTGAACGATGGACTGACCACCCCAGAGTCCAGACCTCAACACCACTGAATGTGTTTGATTACTTCAGAAAATGATCAACCAGCTTCTGAGACTGAACTTTGGAGGTGTGTCTGCAGATTCTTTGAGGAACTGAAAGTGAGTCTCCTGAAAAGAATGGAAGCTGGAATAAAGGGAAAGAGTGACTCATTGAACACTCAAACAGCTGAAATTGGAATTAGCTGTTGAGGCTTCTGTGTCGTTTTCTGTTAAATATGTGTTTCTGCTTTTTTTCTTTATGCTGAAAATGAATCTCTTGTACTTAAAGACTGATTTGACTGAAAAATTCGAAATAAATACAATGCATTTCGTTCTTCAGTGTCGTAATTACGGAAATATTATTAGATAACCACAATTTCTCTGATTATACAGGGTGTCCCAAAAAAACTGACATCATTTCGTCGTCTAATAACATAGCCAATGTGTGTTAGAATATGCTCGAACACAGTCAAACAAGAGTGTGCAGTGTGCATTTTCGAGAAAAATCAATAAAAATGCACCAACTGGAAAGCAGATTTGGACGCAGCACAAAAAATTCAAAGAGGAAGGCTGTCTGTGCAGCGCAAAGGGGTCTGGACGACCACCAGTATCTGAAGATATTACATTTGTGACGCTTTGAGAAATCGGTTATAAAATCTACATCCCTCTGAATTTCTGGTTCGAATTTTGATAAATAAATCTTGTGTTGTTCAGCATGAAGCCTGTTTAATTTCGTTTGCCTGGACATGTAGCTACTCAGATACTCACATCTCAAATGATGATAATGAAAAATAATTTAATTTGCACATGGATTATGCTAAGACGCTCCACAGAAAGGAGCGGGCAGCTCTTCTGCAGCAGGTTTGGAGAGATTAACAGGCACAAGACTCAGACCCCTTGGGGAATTTCCACTGGGATGTCCCACAAGGCGACGGTGGGAAAGAAAGCAAGAGAAAAGCCACAGGAGACTCGCTGCTGAGCACCAAACCATCAGATACATTAGCTACTAACAACAGCAGTGCACTGACACAGCCTGCGGTCACATGCATAGAACATCTTAAGTGAATTTCGGCCTTAAGTTTTGACTTCTAACTTAAGTGAGCGGTGAAAAATCTTGTGTGGAGTTTTAGACCCAAACTTTACGTTTCTATGGAGCCCTGCTGGTAACACACCATATGAATAATAATAATAATGTGTGGCCACAACATAGTAAAGCATGGGAATGAGATAATTAAGTCATGGCCACAACTCAGTAAGGTGTGGGAAAAAGATAATTAAGACTTGGCCAAAGCTTAACAAGGCATGATCTCATTCCCACGCCTTACTAAGTCTTACCAAGTCAAAGAAGTGCTGAAATGTACAGATCCCTGCTGGTGACATCCTGTATAATAAAATTTTGCATGGCCACACCATATTTATGTGTGGGAACAAGATCCTAATGCATGGCCACACGTTATTTTTATTTATACAGGATGTCACCAGCAGGGCTCCGTAGGTTTCAGCACTTTTTTGACAGCTGCAAGATCTAAATGCTTTACATTTATTACTTACGCATTTAAGATGTTTTATGAAAATGATAACTGACCTTTGTAGAGCTGAGCAATATGACAATCTGTATCATTACTGTGATAAATAACATCACAATACACAATACTTTGTTTCTATGCTCATTGTCCATTTTATCAGCTCCACTTACTATATAGGTGCACTTTGTAGTTCAACAGTTACAGACTGTAGTCCATCTGTTTCTCTGATACTTTGTTAGCCCCCTTTTACCCTGTTCTTCAGTGGTCAGGACCCCCATGGACCCTCAAAGAGCAGGTACTATTTGGGTGATGGATCATTCTCAGCACTGACGTGGTGGTGGTGTGTTAGTGTGTGTTGTGCTGGTCTGAGTGGATCAGACACAGCAGTGCTGCTGGAGTTTTTAAACACTGTGTCCACTCACTGTCCACTCTATTAGACACTCCTACCTTGTCAGTCCACCTTGTAGATGTAAAGTCAGAGACGATAGCTCATCTGCTGCTGCACAGTTTGTGTTGGTCATCCTCTAGTCCTTCATCAGTGGTCACAGGACGCTGCCCACAGGACGCTGCTGGCTGGATATTTTTGGTTGGTGGACTATTCTCAGTCCAGCCGTGACACTGAGGTGTTTAAAAACTCCAGCAGCACTGCTGTGTCTGATCCACTCAGACCAGCACAGTGTGTTAGCTTGTGGCTAGCATGTTAGCTTGTGGCTAGCATGTTAGCCTGTGGCTAGCATGTTAGCCTGTGGCTACTGTGTTAGCTTGCGGCCAGTGTGTTAGCTTGCGGCCAGTGTGTTAGATTGCGGCCAGTGTGTTAGCTTGTGGCCAGTGTGTTAGCTTGTGGCCAGTGTGCTAGCTTGCGGCTAGTGTGTTAGCTTGTGGCCAGTGTGTTAGCTTGTGGCCAGTGTGTTAGCTTTTGGCCAGTGTGTTAGCTTGTGGCTAGTGTGTTAGCTTGTGGCCAGTGTGTTAGCTTGTGGCTAGTGTGTTAGCTTGTGGCCAGTGTGCTAGCTTGCGGCTAGTGTGGTAGCTTGTGGCCAGTGTGTTAGCTTGTGGCCAGTGTGTTAGCTTGTGGCTAGTGTGTTAGCTTTTGGCCAGTGTGTTAGCTTGCAGCTAGTGTGTTAGCTTGTGGCCAGTGTGTTAGCTTGTGGCTAGTGTGTTAGCTTGTGGCCAGTGTGCTAGCTTGCAGCTAGTGTGTTAGCTTGTGGCCAGTGTGTTAGCTTGTGGCCAGTGTGTTAGCTTGTGGCCAGTGTGTTAGCTTGTGGCTAGTGTGTTAGCTTGTGGCCAGTGTGCTAGCTTGCAGCTAGTGTGTTAGCTTGTGGCCAGTGTGTTAGCTTGTGGCCAGTGTGTTAGCTTGTGGCCAGTGTGTTAGCTTGTGGCTAGTGTGTTAGCTTTTGGCCAGTGTGTTAGCTTGCAGCTAGTGTGTTAGCTTGTGGCCAGTGTGTTAGCTTGTGGCTAGTGTGTTAGCTTGCAGCTAGTGTGGTAGCTTGTGGCCAGTGTGGTAGCTTGTGGCCAGTGTGTTAGCTTGTGGCCAGTGTGTTAGCTTGTGGCCAGTGTGCTAGCTTGCGGCTAGTGTGTTAGCTTGTGGCCAGTGTGTTAGCTTGTGGCCAGTGTGCTAGCTTGCAGCTAGTGTGTTAGCTTGTGGCCAGTGTGCTAGCTTGCAGCTAGTGTGTTAGCTTGTGGCCAGTGTTTAGCTTGTGGCCAGTGTGTTAGCTTGTGGCCAGTGTGTTAGCTTGTGGCCAGTGTGCTAGCTTGCAGCTAGTGTGTTAGCTTGTGGCCAGTGTGTTAGCTTGTGGCCAGTGTGTTAGCTTGGGGCCACCATATTAGCAGGTAGCTGCAGGATTAGATCGGGACCCCATGAAGCACAACTTTTCTTTCTAATATTTTGGAATTGGAATATCAGCATATTAATGTATTGCACACTTTCAGTCACTCTTATTTTTGCTGTATTGAAACACGTTCTGAATCGAGACAGAACAGTATCAAATCAAACAATGAATTCTGCATGTCGTTAAACCTCCTGTATCTATCTGAATAATGCACTGAAACTTTTTTTATTTTGTATGTTCACATCACTTTTACATGAATAAAATATATTACATTATTACAGTTCTGTCTTTGTACCTGTTTTTTGTGATAATCAATAATATATTCGTGTGGAAATATCTGAATCTGTCTTTCTGTCTGCACTGAAAAAAAACTGTTGACTTCAATTAATTCATCTTTGTACAACAAAGTATGTTTAAAATTCATTACATAAAAATAATATATTACATAATACATGTGACAATTAATTATGTAAACGTCTGAACTAAACCCAATGCATCACTTCTTCAGTGTATTTGTCTATGAATTCACCTCTGAATTATTCAGCATCAACTATGAATTATTCAGAAACTTTAGTGCCACATCTAAAAATGCTAAAATAAGAATTATAAACTTGCAACTACAATGATTTTTATTCTATGTTTTACAAATTGTGCTGTACTAAATCCAGTTAAACAGGCCTAATTATTCTTATTTTCCAATGAAACATAGTTAGTCAGTGTTCTTTAAATACTGTTTCTATCAAAAATATATGGCATAGAAAGGCATATTGTGACATAATTCTTTAGGATAACACTAAAATATCACCATGTTGTTCACCACTAATATCTACTATGAATTATTTAATATGTACTATGAATTATCTAGTATCTACTGTGATGTATTTAGTATCTACTGTAAATTTTTTAGCATGTACTGTGAATTATTTAGTATCTACTATAAATTATTCAGTATGTACTGTGAATTATTCAGTATCTACTATAAATTATTTAGTATGTACTGTGAAATATTCAGTATCTACTATAAATTATTTAGTATGTACTGTGAAGTATTCAGTATAAATTATTCCATAACTACTATGAATTAATTAAGACTTATTTAAACGATTTATAGTGGTTACTGGATTTATCATTTACTGAATATTGTCTAATGAATTAGTGAATGAGTCAAATAATTACTGAATGATTCACAGCAGTTACTTAATAATTCATGATAGATATTGAAAAACAGTCCATTTCCCAATTATTATGGTATTTTATTTTTCCTTGAGGTCCAGCGATGACGTTTGTGTGGTTTCATGTAGGAAAATGAGTAGTAATTGATTTGTACACGATCATTTTCCACCCCATCACACACACCAACCCCACCAACTCTTAGAATTAAACAGACTGTATCTGAAGTCAACTGAACTCAATGCTTCGCTTTTTCCACTGCATCTCTCATATGAAGGCCAAAAAATGGCCAGAACATCAACAAAAGCACCAACCTGAAGATCTTCCTGGGCTGAGCCTGCTGGACGGGCTCGTACGTTAAGATCCGCGGCTGAAAGTCCTCGTTTTCTTCTTCGTGTCCAGTGGAAATTGAGCTGGGTTTTCTAGCAGCCACACCGCCATCGTGGAGCAGGGTGACCACTGGGTCGAGGTCACACGGTTCTTCTACCCAGCTCACGCTCAGCAGGCTCAGAGTGAACCCCAGAGAGATCCCCACCACCACCGGACCAACGGGCCTGACCAGACCCAGACATCTCCCGACCCTCATGGCGAACCAGGAGCGGGGCTAATCCGCACCTCGCGAGAGAAAGATCGACCCAAACGAGCAGCAAACATGAAGAGACGTCCCGCAGCTTCGGAGCGCAGCTGGAGCTTCTGGCTCTCCAGTCTGTGGATCCTCTTTCTCAGCGTCGGCGCTCCGACGGCCCGCCCACATTACCACGCAGGCAGGCGGGCAGGAGAAGAGGAGCTCTGCTCTGATACCAGCGCTCAGGATCCCCTCTGAACCCCGCTGATCGCCCGGACTCTGTCAGAGTGCCGCTTTGTTTCCATCTGCATTCCATCTGCTTCTTTTCTGCATCGCTTACTGTAAAGCCTATTATATGTGGATTGTTGTGGTTTCGCCAGAGGGCGCTGTGGCGCCGCATTCTCACATTAAAGGGCCCATATCCTGCATTTCCATTGTGTCTGATCTTTTTATTTCCCTGAAGACAACTTCATGTAACTTTTGTGTGGTTTTATACAATATTAATCAGCAGTGATTCATTTTACATGACTAGTTTTACATTTTTCAACATCTGTTACTTTTGTTACTGTGCTTTTAAGACTGATATATGTAAATGATCTCTGTTCTGATTTGTCGCTCTGTATTGTGCAGCATAGGACTATATATATATATATATATATATATATATATATATATATATATATATATATAAAATGCAAACACCTGGTTTAATGTGGGGTTTTTTGTGTCGAGGGTTGGTCACAACGGGGGGTGGAAGCCCACAGGTGGTGGTGACCTCACCCTCTAAGTTCAGTGCTTTGTATGTGCCCTTCTGTCTGGTGTTTATTAAAAGAGCGTTTCTCGCAGCACAATCATACCAATGCCACAGTGGTGTCAGAGGTGGGATAGCAGCCCCCTGCAGCCTGGAGTGGAAATGCACTACAAACAAAGCACAGCAAAAGACCACGAAAGTGGAGACAGCGCTGCAAGGCGGCTGCAAGCTGTGAGTCGTGTGTAGCGTGGCAGCCCCAGCGACGCTTTGAGCAGCCGGCAGCAGTGTGGATGAGCAAGGCTGATATTTGGGGCTTCAGTAAACAGGAGCAGCACCCTTGTTGGTGTCTACGGCACAGTGGGTGGCCGAAGGAGCACCTTCACCTGCTGTTGTCGCCACTCCCAGTAGTGGGAGAATTGACGCCACAACCTCCAAGGAGTTCCACTGTGCTTTGAGAAGGAGGACGCTACACTAGGCCTCTCTGCTGCAGTGTCCCAAGGGAGGGGACACGGCCCCTGAGAGAGGACTGGGGGTGCACACAGCCTAGTGGCTGAGATACATACATACATACATGCATATATATATATATATATATATATATATATATATATATATATATATATATATATCTGTGTGTGTGTGTGTGTGTGTATGGTTGGTTTTCGTGACATCACACATTGAAAATGAGTTGTTTTTGCAGCTTAGTTTAGTTTAGTGTTTACATACTACATCAAAGTCTTTTATTTCAAAGAGGAAAGAAAAAAATCAGTTTTCCATGACACTGGCTCTTTAAAGGAGAATTCCACCAAATTTTCAAATTCACTTGTTAAGAGTTGGATTTGTGCACACAGGTCCAGGAACCAGACATGCAAACTTCGTCACAGAAAGCTAATACATCAAATGTCCTGGTGCCTGAGCGATTGTTGTATGAGAGTTTTGAGATAAGATATTTGATTATTGGAAATATTATTTTTAAATGCATACAGGATGGAGAGGTACGACTCATACAGCAGAACAGAACCTAAACACACGTTATGAACAGCCATAAAATGTCTATATTTGTGCTGTAATCATGGTGACCCCTGGTTCCCATCACCACCACTGTAAAGAAAGCTGAACCATTTCACACCCGTGAAATTCCCCTTTAAAATTGGAAGGATGGAAGAGCTAAAGTGGCAGTGGGTGCACAACTGGAAGAGTGGACAAATTAAATACTTACTGTTGGAGTCTTCTGTGTAATTTTATAATGAATTTTTGTTTCCTAATTTTTTGCTACACTGGAAAAGAAGATAAAATAAGTACCTCACTCCTTACTTAAAGACTCTCTCTCTCTCTCTCTCTCTCTCTCTCTCTCTCTCTCTCTCTCATTTTTATTTATTTTTATTTTTTTATCTCTTCTATGAATAATTTATGTTTGTTGTAGAATTTTTTGCTTATTGAATAATACGCCATAAAAGATCCATATCCTAACATTTTCACTTTATTTTATTTTATTTACTTATTAAGGTCCAATAAAGATTTATGTACCAAAAACCATCATGAAAATAGTTTATAAACTATTCTTCTGTATATTGTGTACCTCTCTACCCTGCATGCATTTTAAAATATGTTTAAAACCAAAATCCTACGTCAGAAATATCATAAAACAGCATCTCTAACTTTTGTACAATGATAATAATATTAATATTCATTATTATTATTATTATTATTATTATTATTATTATTATTAGTGGTAGTAGTATCCCCTTTTGTGGTTTGCCTGTGTGACAAAATACTGAGACGTTTGCAGTTGACCACAAGGTGGCGCCAAATACTCACAAACTCTGATTTCTGACATTTTTATTTAGATTTTTTTAACCGCTTGATGGAAGCCAGGTCCCATCACACGAAGCCATAGCACTTATAACCTCATTACTTACAGCAGACCTGAATATCTCTGAAGGGAAACACCTAATTATCATAATTATTTGGTTTAGTTTAATCCCCTCAGAGTGAGTATTTGCCCCAGCTCAGCGGAGTTGAGGTATAAATAAGGAGGGTGGTGTTTATAAATGTAAAGATGAAGCCTTGTGGTCCTGTGTTGGACGTATGAGGTTTGTCAGGCTGTAATGGGTAAAGCGTGACCTGAGTGTATAAAGTTTATCTCCTCCACTCATCTGCCTGTGATGTGCGCTTCTGAGAGAGCTTCATGGAAAGGCACGGCCTCTGACTGTCAGGGGCTACATTTTTCCATCATTTTTCCATCATTTTTCCATCACAGCCCATCTTAGTATAAAGATATCTTAATTTATGTCATATGCTTTTTTCCATCAACTAGCAAACGCTGCATTACTGCCCATCAGAAAGAAGATACAGCTATAAATACTGTACTTACATTCCTTCTGTGTGTTTTAACTGATCTGTGAGAGTTATATAAGTGAGGTTCTAGATTTAGAACACTTTATTGTCCATTCAAGTAGATAAAATGTGGATGTGTTTTTGGCATGTACAATAAAAACACTATTTAAACCTAAACCTTTTAAACTGTAAGGGTCCGTACGTGGGCTCTGGTCCGCACTCTCACAACGAAACCAGTTAGTTTTTTGTTCAATTACTGAATAATTCATATTAGGTATGAAATAGTTTGTGGCAGTCACAGAATGATTCATAGTGGTTACTAAACAACTCATGGGGTTACTGAATAATTCAAAGGGCTTGATGAATGGATCACAGCAGATACTCAGTAATTCATAGTGGTTACTGAATAATTCATAATAGGTTCCTATTTTATTTGGATGGTCCTCTATAGATTCACAGATATGTATATTATTAACAAACTTTCTGAAAAAACTTTCTGGTACTTTTCTGATACTCAGTTGATTACAAACAACATTAAGGTTAGGGTTAGCTTTAGGAGCAGGTGTAGATTATGCCTTGAGTTTAGGGTTAGGGTTCGGTTTAGGGTTAGGGATAGACTTCATTCGGTCTTTCTCATTAAACTTCAAGGTAGCAATAAATATTTAGATGAATGTTACTTAAATATATACTGAGCATCTACAAACCATCCACAGTGGACCATCCAAACAAAGTGTAGCTGAATAATTAATAAAAGTTACTGGATAATTCATAGTAGTCACTAAATAGTTATTAGTAGTGACCAAAAATGAGTATATATATATTCATTCATATCATTGGTATAGTGTAGGGTGCTTATCCAGGTCAGGCATTGAACTCCAGTCTACAGCGTCGAAGGCAGAGGTGTTGAGACACACTGAAGAAGGGACAATATGCATAATATATATATATATATATATATATATATATATATATATATATATATATATATATGTACACTGTAAAAATTGTCTCGTCTGATCTACTTAAAAAAAATACTTTTTATCAGATATATCTGATAATGCCTTAAATACATATTGTCCCTTCTTCAGTGTGTCTGGAAATGCAGGTACAGACCACTAATGAGTAACATCAGAGGAGAAAATCTCTCCGAGACTCAGGAAGAGAACCCATCCTCCTCTGGGTGGCAGACAGGGCAGTTACATTACATATAAATGAGCAGTTCCAGTGAGGATAGGATGAGCTTACAGGAAGATGAAGCAGAGGAGAGAGAGAGGATCACACAGAGAGGACTGACCCACACTGGACAGCAGAGCTGGGATTCTAATGATGACAGTGTTACGGCTCCTCACTGTCTCTCCTGAGTGAATCAGCTCAGCTGAGAAGTTCCTAGTGTTGGTGTCAGACTGTGAGCTGGCCAGCAGAACACTCTAGACTCTGAGTGTACATTTAACAGGAAAACACACACAGTGCACACACACGCACACACACACACACACACACACACACACACACACAAACATGCACACACACACACACACCCACCCATGCACACACACATAAAAATGTCTAAACAATATATAACTTGACAGATTTCCTGAATATTTACAATGATGAACAGAGCTAAGAAGCTGTAGCACATCCAGAATGAAGTCCTAATCAAATTAACATCCAGAATGAAGTTCTAATCAAATTAACATCCAGAATGAAGTTCTAATAAAAATTAATATCCAGAATGAAGTTCTAATAAAATTAATATCCAGAATGAAGTTCTAATCAAATTAACATCCAGAATGAAGTTCTAATAAAATTAATATCCAGAATGAAGTTCTAATAAAATTAACATCCAGAATGAAGTTCTAATAAAATTAATATCCAGAATGAAGTTCTAATAAAATAAACATCCAGAATGAAGGTTTTCATTCTGGATATTAATTCTGGAATGTTTTCCAGAATGAAGTTCTGATTAAATTAACATTCAGAATGAAGCTTTAAGAAAATTCATATTGTTGGATAAATGTATATTTTGTACATATTATCAAACACACACACACACACACACTCAGGGGGTGCCCGAGCCTATCCCAGCGGTCATTTGGCGAAGCACCCTGGACAGGTAGAACACAAAACCTGAAATCCACACAGTCACACTCAGTGATGTGAGTTATTGTTTGTTTGTTGTTGTTGTTTTCCTTCGTGTTCACTCTGTTATTGGTCTCTGACACAGTGAGCTGTACTGAGT